CGATACTTAATCTGATTTTTATCCCCACAATTATTTGATTTTCCTTTCATCTTTGATTTTATTTGTTAGGCATTGATGAAGTAGATGGTATTGCAATATAGTGTTCTGAAATTGATGACATGTGCTGAAATAATCCCGATACCATGTTCAATCTGACATGCGATGAAATTGATACCATGTGCAGTGCTGCAATAACAATTGACGATTAGGAATATGTTGTACTTTGCAATCTGAAATGACCTCATGGTTCTTCAAATGTACCAGGACAAGCATTGTAGGGTTGTTACTACTAGGGACTGCGATCCAAGAAAAAATTGTCAAATCAAATTTACGTTCTTCTTTTTACTTGAGACATTCTTTCTGTTTATTCATTCCTCTCTCAATGAGTAACTTATAGTTTTAAAGCGAGTTTTAACGAAAAGTCCGCAGTACTGTTCACTTTAACGAAAAATCAACTTTGTGACACTAAAAAGTCAAACTTGGTACTATTCATTTTACCCTTTATTTTGTCCTTATCGTTAAAACTCAAAGTTTTCAAGCCATTTTCATTAGTTTTTCTTAGTTTTAAATCCAAATGGTGGAATGGAGTGTGATATAATGGATTTGTTGTGGATTCCTTAGGGGTTGTGACACACCCCGTCCCGAAGGAGGGCGTGCTGGCCGTCACGTGAGAGTGACGTAACCATTTACACAGTTCGGAAGCTTTAAAAAAAATTCCAATTACTAAGATAACACACCCGAGGGTGAGTCCTACTTTTGTGAATTCTGTCAGAACACCGTTGGATTCCTCGTGGCCACCAAAGCTCTGCTAACTTGAACCTGGAGGGGCGCAAAACAAAATTGAGTGGGTCAGTAAAACAAAGTTTTTCGAAAACTTTTCATTTAAAACATTTCTAACCCCTCACCGTAAAACCTGTATACTTTCCCAGAAAATAGCATATATATAAACATATATATAAGCAAAACTCTCAAATCTCAAACCTTTAACACTTTTCAGAAATATATATATATATATATTATATATAACCATATAAATCTCAAAGCTTGAATCCCAAATCTTTAACATTTTTCAAGAAAAACATGCCATGCCATCAATCAAAATATAAATCAGGTGAAATAAGGAATCAATCGGAGACCCTGCAGTTGGTCCTATACGATTAATTCAATAGCTCAATATCTCACTAAGCCGGAGTCACCACAGTGACCTATACGGCCCTACTCTGCACATCACTCGGAACTACGTAAGGTAGTCTATACGATGAAAGGTGTAAAATACGCTCTAGTGCTTCTCTCATCATATCATCAGCGCGCATATCTAAGGTCACCCACCAGTCGGAACCCCTCTAATGGTCTGTACGACTGGCATGTCGGAACCCTCACATGGTCTGTACGACATCCACCTACTTGGATCCAAGGCGAGCGTGCGGTGTGGTGAATAATATAAGCACTAACACCTAGGGTGCAGATTATGAGCTCAAACATCGAAACATCAATCAATTAAATGAATAATGAACTCACCTGACGTACCTGTGCCTCCACAGCACCATGCAACATGTATGCATCATATATCAATCATGTAATTCATATAACAATTCACATTTTCAAATAATTCTATGCATGGCATTTTTAAAGCATATCTTCATATATAAATTCATTTTCTGGGAAAAATCAATAGTATAAAGGTAATACAAAAACAAAACTGCCCACTCACCTGGAGTTCGCCCACAACTCCCTAGCAGCACCGTACATCAAGGCGTCATGACGATTAGCGCCTAGAACAACAATCAAAATCCAACCTCAGAAATTCTGCCGATAGAATACATAACTTATATAAGACACGTCACTACGTAGTTCGATCCGGATGATCTGCAATTCAGATTTCAAATCCGTAACTTCCAGAGGTCCACAATATACCTCTAGGACAACATCCTAAAATTTCATTACCATCCAACGGTCGGATCTTCGTCAATTTCCAAAACTAAGTGACGGTTAACATTCTATTTTATGAACTTACAACTTCAATTCCGGAAGATCCGTAAATCGGATTCCCAATCCGTAAGTTCCTATAATCCTCAAATATTACGTATTACAACGTATCAAAGTTTGATGACGATCCAACGGTCGGATCGTCAATTCACATTTTCACCTAACCACGAATCGTAACCAACTTAGGTTCAATTATTCAATTTACGTCCATCAATTATCAAAACAGAACCTAGAACCTTAATCACAAGCTAATAATGACATTGGCGGGCCATTGGCCACGCGCCGCCGCGCGGGCCGCCGCGGGTGGCGGTTGGCCGCCGCGGGTGGCGGTTGGCCGCCCCCGGCTCGCCGGAAAATTCAACTATTTCCAAAAATTACCAAAATTTGCAGATTTGAAGATCTCAATGAGTAGAACAACTTTCATACCTGAGACCAATGCTAATTTGGCCTGGAAGTGCTTCAATTTCACCAAAACCGTGAAGAACCCTAGAATTTGGGTGTTTCCAATTCGACCTTCAAACTTGTTCCAACGCCTCAATTACCTCTTGGGCTTTGTTCTAGGTCCTAAAGGAATGCTAAAGGTGTTAGTAATTGAAAGAAAACATTTCAAAATTTGGAGAATTTAAACAAAAGGGTCGCGGCACCCGTAGGGGTGTTCTTCGCGAAATCACAACGAAATTCAATGATTCTTGGGGTGAAACGTGAAGAGGGAAGGCCTAGATGATGATTAGGAGTGGTACCTTGACTCAATTTGTCGGAAAATTGGACGAAAACGGCGAAAACCCGCCGATTTGGAAGCTTGGGTCGCGCGGGTCAAGGGTGACCCATTCCTCCTGTTCCCCCGTGCACCACTCTCCCTCCTTTCCCTCCTTTCCGTCCCCTGATTGGTCAGCTTCTTCCTCTCCCTTCTTCTGGTTCACTCTCATCTTCTTCTTCTCCGATTGGGCATTTCTGCCCAGTCTCTTCTTCTTTTCTGTTTTCTGTTTCTTCTTCTCATACACATACACACACCAAAAACCTTTCCCTCATCCCAGCCATCCATTTCATTCATCAATAAATCTGGGCCGTCCAATTTCATAAAAGAATTTCTATATTTTACTAAAATTATAATTCCTTAAAATTCCAAATTTCAAACGTTAATAACTTCTTCGATATAACTCCAAATCACGAACCGTCTGCGCCCACGTCCGTAACGACGAGTACTACGAGGATATGTCAAGAAAACAAATCTTAGATGGCACGACACAACGATTAACCTCGAATGATGTGCGTGCCTCAAAGGGCATTTTTGTAAAATCCTTTATTAAAACTTTAAAAATTCTTAAAATTAGGGACGGGCTGTCACAGGTTGCAAACCGAAGTTCAGGTATTTAAAAGGTTTTATAGCCAAAATGATTCCTGAGATTTGCATAACACATTACTTTGGTTTCTGAGATTGAAAATCAATAGAAATGGTTCCTGAGATTGTCCATCCTCCATTATTTTGGTCATTCCGTTAAAAACTCCGTTAAGTGTCCCGGAGCTCTTAGCCGAAAGTTTGGACAATTTCAAAGTTTCGTAACTCAATCGTTTCTTAACCAAATTCAATCCATAGTATATCAAAATGAAGATAGGAAAGTGTAGAATAAGATTATACCTATTTAGAAACCCAATGGTTGCCTGAGATGGCTTGGAAAATAGCCTGAAAAGTGAATGGTCAGCGGGAAAACTAGAAAACTCCCCTGAAATTGGGTAAATTTTAAATGTTCATAACTTCTTCAATAATCAACAAAATCGAGTGATTCAAAAACAAAAGTCATACTTCTCAACGAGACGAATACAATGGTACCTTTATCAATGGCTAATTCTCTATGGTTTGGCCGGAAAATGTCTCAAAAGTGGCTAACTCGAGACCAAGATAGCCACTTTCGAACCGTTTTTCGGCCAAAACACGGCGAGTTAGCCGTCAATAAAGTTACCATTCTCTTTGTCTCGTCAAGAAGTATGATTTTTGTTTTTTAAATCACTTGATGTAGTTGAGTATTGAAGAAGTTATGAACGTTTAAAGTTTACCCAGTTTCCGGCGAGTTTTTCAGTTTTCCCACGGACCAGTCACCTTTCAGGCCATTTTCTGGCCATATCCGGCAACCATTGGGCTTCCAAATGATATAATCTTGTTCTACACTTCCCTATCTTCATTTTGATATATTATGGGTCGAATTTGGTTAAGAAACAATTAAGTTACCAAGCTTTGAAAATTGCATATGAGAATCTGATGACAAGTTATTGTCTGGATTACCGAAATAAATCATACTTAACTGTTTAACTGACCAATATTCTTAAGATTTCGTGGTTTTCTACTATCTAGGGCCCATCTCAAAATTATCTATTTCGTATCGTCTTGGTTACATACTAACTCCTATCTGGTAAAAAAGATGAGGTGGGGGCGAGAATGTTAACGGAGAGTTAGACTGAAATGTTAATTTTAGGCTTGAATTCTAATAGACATCACTATGAGGGTTTAAATTCTAATTTTCTTCACCATGGGCTATCTTCCAATTATCCTATCATCATGAGACTGTTAATCTAATTTAGCTTTTACATTTAGTGAGCATTATTTTTAATACGGTTTTCTTTGTTTAGATTCTCATAGAAAACTCGCTGCAAAAAAAATATGGGTTTCGAGTTGGGTGGTTGAGAATATGGACTGATCATTTTATTGCAGATTTTGAACCATTAGTATCAAGGTGAAAAAATGACCAACAAGAGGTGTTGGCATTCAATTTTAAAATTTTCGTCAACATGACAGCACTAGATAATTCCCATTACTTAAAAATATTGTGGTGTTTCTGACCGAAAGCTTGCAAGTATCTCTAAAATTGATTTAGTTGGTTTCTCCTGACCACAATGCAGGACTTCTCATGACCTTTTTTTTTATGTAGAAGTTCGTTTCTAATCAAACCAACTTTTGATTTAATAGCAGGTGGGATCTTAGATAGGATAAATGTCAAAGCAACATAGAAGGAGATGAAAAATTAGTTCAAAAGTTGTTTTTATTTCTTTAAACTACTAAGACATGAGCCTTATTATGTAAATGTGCTACTGTCGTTGCACCGAAACATAATAGTCAGTTTAGTAAATTTCATTTTTCATATTTATAAAAACATGTATCAAATCACAAACGTTCTACATAGATGAATGCAGTAAAGCTCTATAACTCACACGTAGAGCCCTGTGATTAAAAAAAGGTCTTTTGAATGTGTGTGAGTGCATGCAAAAATGCTAGTATGGTCTAAAAAATGGTCTCTTTAACTAGCATTTTCCTTATTCAGCTCATATTGTAAGTTGTAACTATTTCCTACTTGGACTGTTTGATAGATGATTATTATGTGTGGGATATTATTATTTTTAAATCGTATATAAAGTAGATAATATTGGAATGTTGTTAGATTCATGGAAGAAAATGCCGATAATATCGGCGAAATATCGCCGATATTATCGGTTTTTCGGGTGATGGATATTCTAAGTGGTATCCGAATGGTTTTTAGCCAAATATCGCGATATTATCGATAATATCGATAATATGGCGATATTTTGGAAATATCGGCGAAATTTTTTTGAGTTTGGTGCAATCGGACTCCGAGGCGACGTCGGAGAAGAACGCTGGAGACGGTGTGCCTATTCCCGGGCCGATTTCGTCCCAAAAACCTTGCAAAAACACGAATTTTAACATCAATTTCACATATAAACTTCAGATTTCACGCATGCATAAACGATTCAACATATGTGAAGTCGGTTTAGGGTTTAGGGTTTCAATGGAATCTCACCTGACGAAGACGAAGACGAACCAGATGACTGAACGTGATCCTTGCTCAGTGGCGCACCGCCAGAGACGACTGAGCCAACTCCGACTTCGCCAGAGCCACGATCAACGGCGAAGGGAGAAGAGAGATCGAGAGATCTCTGTGTGTGTGTGTGTGTTTGGGAGAAGAGAGATCGGAGATCTCTCTTTGTATGTGGGTGTTTGGGAGAAGAGAGATCGGAGAAGGGAGAAGAGAGATCGGAGAAGGGAGAAGAGAGATCGGAGAATGGAGAAGAGAGATCTCCGATCTCTGTGTGTGTGTGTGTGTTTGGGAGAAGAGAGATCTCCGATCTCTGTAGATGGAGGGTGTGTGCGTGTGTGTGTGTGTGGAATGAGGGAGAAGTGTGTGTGTGTTATCCGAGAGAAAGAAAAAAATACATTGAGGGTGTGTGTGTGTGTGTGTTTGTGGCACACGGTTTGACACATGGTTTTGTATAAAACCATGGTTTTGTGTGTGTGTGTGTTCACGTGTATGGTTATGTGTGTGTGTGTGTATGGTTATGTGTGTGTGTGTGTTATCCGAGAGAGTTTTGGCACATGGTTTTGTATAAAACCATGGTTTTGTATAAAACCATGGTTTTGTGTGTGTGTGTATGTGTGTATGGTTATGTGTGTGTGTGTTATCCGAGAGAAAAAAGAAAAAAACTTTGAGGATGTGTGTGTGTGGCACACGGTTTTGTATGAAATAATTGGAAGTGACTTTGCTTAGAAGAACCAAATATTCTGTCAGAGAAGAACCAAAAAATCTGCTTACTTTATCTTCTTCTCCACGTGAAGACCAAATTCTGTCAGAGAAGAACCAAAAATGCAATGTATAAAGTGTAAAATATTGTACTAATTCATTATATATAAATGATTATGGTGTGTTTAGACTTCTTTCATTAATTACTACATATTTTCTACACTCACAATGTTTGTCAGCTCGCTATATAATCAACTTGATAATGTTAAATCCATCATGCAATGCATTTCCTTCCAATTTTTTGTGATAAACTAATAGATAATTGACTAAATAAACATCCTGCAAAGTTTCAATAAAAATTTCCAAGTTTTTCTTACAATTTCCGTGGTTTCCATGTAATTTTTATCGATATCGATATTATCCCAATATTTCCATCGATATTTCCGTGTTTTCGGACTACCGATATTTCCGATATTTTCTTCCTTGGTTAGATTCACCTCAATGTCTTATTTCCCCACTCACATACTCTCACCCACCACAAAAGTTAAAAAACTGAAATGTTATTTTTTCACCCACTATTATTTCTAAAGTAACCTCTAATAAGCTCAACCAAGCCTTCACTCACCACCAAGGCCTCCCTTCCCGATTTTTATTTTGGTTCGAGTTTCAGAATTTGGTCTTTTCCCAATTTGCAACTCTCCTTCCTTCCCTCTATCCAGACTCAACGCAACCCCATTTCCTCCCCCCTTTCAATATTTTCTTCATTTACCATTGCTTGTTTGCTTATTAAAAAGCTGGAATTTATTTTAAAAGTAGTTTGCTTTTTTTTATTTGAACTCATATAACTTTATTTTACACTTATTTTATATTCTACACTCATTTTATTTTTAATTAAACTATTAATATCTCTTTAACCCTAATTTACTACCTAAACTAAACTACACTCACAAACCCAATTTAATATGCAAATTGAGCTTTACACCCATTTCAAAATAAAACTCAAAATCAAAGCATATGTTCTCTTCTCTAACATTCTTTCCCACGTCCATCGTCTTTCCTTTTTAATTCTTCATGATTTAATAGAAATTGAAATTGAAATTAATAAAAGTTGTGAGAATTAATTTATCTTTTAGGTTTTCAGGAGAACGGCATACAACCATCCTTTATGTGATTACCATGTTGGAAAAGCTTGATCTTTTGAGGCTAAGTTCCATAAAGGAGTGGGTGATCACCGTATGAGTTGGAAAAAACTTGATAACATCCTTTTTGCCCACTTTCTGATGCTTTTATGAGAAATTTGAGGCGCAAGAAATTCAAGGTTATAGAACTGGAAGATTGAGCAGCCCAACTTGACCACCTCTCGAACTCTGAAACAAAATTGGCGGATGAGGAACTTGCTTGAGCAGAATATCAAGCTCCTCAAAAACCCATCTGAATTATGAACGACCTTCTTTATTAAGCTATTACCTTCTTGAAGTAATTTGGGATTAACTTTTGCTCCAATTCAACACCTTTTTATGGCTTCTTCATCATATAATTTATGTTTAGATTTTAGTTTGGAGCCAACTGATATTCTAATCATTCCTGGCCACTACCCAGTTGATGGGTTCTGACCGTGGCAGGTTCAGCTTGGAGGTGGGGGTGACATGATTTTTCTTTATTTTGTTTTTTCATATTATTTGTTATTTTGGTTATTTTAATCTTTATTTTTTAATTCTGTTGTCCAAAAAGCTTATTAGCGGGGACTATTGTTACCACACGTACAATTTTAACAAAAAATATTAACTGGAGCTTTACAGATGTGATTTTTAATATGTTGATTACTTATTTGAAATATTTAATTAAAAATATTAAGATTAACCTGAAATGACACTAAAAGGATAAGAGTTATATGTACTTATATATTTTCTTTTTTATCGGGTGTCTTTGTTATGTCAGACCAAGAAAAAACATGTTTGGATGATTATGTATGTTGAACATGGACGCATTTTGAGGACAATTAGCGTGTCAAGACAAATTTTGGTACCAATTACAAGTTGGACGAATATGATTTGAAACGAGGAAAATTAGCGTGTTGGACGCATAATTACTTGTTACCCTTTTTTTTTTTTGGGTCAAAGGATAGAAATGTATTAAAAGTCAAATACGAATGAAAACATTTGCATCTTCAGCTAGAATATTAAACAAAAATTGAGGTCCTAATACATCCCAACCATAACTCCCACCATGCTTAAGAACGTACGCCGCCACCATATGGGCTGCACGATTGTATTGTCGAGGGGTAAAGATAAACTTCACCGATTGGAATGACTGCATTATATTCCAAATATCAACTAAATATACCTCCAGCAACACATCATCTTTTAATTCTTTCTTGAATTCCAAGTTTCTATATTTAGCTTTATCATACTTTGCTTCATCTTACACAGTAGGTCGGAAAAAGTGAGTATGATTATATACCAATATATTAAAGGAAACTTTAACGAAAAGCTCTCGATACTGTCAACTTTAACGAAAAACCATATTTTTACACTAAAAAGTCAATCCTAGTACTATTCACTACCCTTTATTTTGTCTTTATCGTTAAAATTCAAAGTTTTCATTAGTTTTCCTTATATTAAACTCATATAAGAATCACATTTCTACAGTAAACCGGAAAATTTGAATGAAATACCAATTTATTGAATTTATGAGTTCAATATATTGGACACATGACTTCAATATATCAAACTCATAAATGTGGTACAAATATATATGGAGTATGTCATACTCCAGGAACCATAAATTTTTTGTTGCTAACATAGATTCATAGGTCTTATAAGTTGCAAGTCATTTCCATCCTCTATAAATGTTTGTTAAGTTAATTGTGCAGTACAGAAGTAGATATTTCGGGTCACTATGGGCAATAAAGAGGCAGCGCAGCGCATCAAGGCAACAGGCAAAGTCTTGAAGCATAGAAAAATCAAAGGTATCAATAGCCAATGTTCAACGTTAGTTGCCATTGCTGTAACCAAACCCAGTAAGTCCGAAAAAAGGGAGAACAAAAAAAAATCCCTTAGCTACATAGAGTTCCTGCATTACCAACAAAAGAACAATTTTAAGATTAAAAAAAAAAGATGTGATCGTAATTCTTTAGATTGAAAATAATATTAGGGGAAAATTAGGTTCGCATCCTTCTTTTTGTTACTACATTGATTAAAATCCTATTCATTTTAAATTTTTTATCAAGGTCCTTGTGTATTAATAACATCATTAATTATTTGAATAATAAAATATTTTTATTTTTAAATATATTCCTTTAGTGTTAAAAATGTTACGATTAGTATATTTATACTTATGGCTAAATTTTTTTATCATATATTTTTATTTTTAGTTTGTACCTATTTTTAATTTGCAAATATTTTTTAATTTGTACCAATTTTCTTTTCATTTTTAATTTGTACCCATATATTAGTTTCTTTTTGTGCCCATATTTTTTAAAGTTTTATTTGTGTTTGTACCCATGTGTATACCATCACGTGACATTGTATATTTAATCAATGATAGAAAAATTACATTTGGTATATTTATGTTTTATGCCTAAACTTTGTATCATATATTTATATTTTTAGTTTGTACCCACTTTTAATTTGCAACATTTTTTTTAATTTGTAGTATTTTTTTTTAGTTTTATTTTGTACCCATGTCTTAATTTCATTTAGCGCCTATATTTTTAAAAATTTATTTGTACTCATAATTTTTAATGTTTTATTTGTACCCTCATTTATTTATAATGTACCCATTCTTCTTTATTAATGTACCACTTTGTTATATGTGAAATGTACCAATTTTTTTGTAAAATGTACCAATTTTTTTAGGGCAAAAGACTGTTTACTACCCTGAAGTTTTATGGTTTTCAACATTTAGTACATCAAGTTTTTTTCGTCTCAGAGTCATACCTAAAGTGTTAATTTTGGGACAGTCTCATACATCTGTTAGTCAAACTGTTAAATCTGCCGTTAACTGATGACGTGGTGCCCATGTGGACAATGACTGGACGCCACGTGTCATTAAGAGGTCCGCGTGGATTTTTTTTTTTTTTTGAGAAGGGGTTCAAAAAAAAAAAAAAGTAGTGGTTCCTAAAACTGCAGCAACCATGGCTTTATCTTCATCATCCCAAACCCCTCATCCTAAACCCATCTTAATCTTCATCTCCAAAATCCAAAAAAAATCAACAACCCTACAAAAATCGAGCTAAAACTTTCAAAACCTAGATCAAATCTCAGCCCCAAATACCCCCTAAACCATGAAAAAAAAATCAAACAACAAAGAAATCTGGAAAATCCAATAAAAACCCAAATCCAAGTTTCTGTCGATCCGCACGCAGAGCCATGAAGATCAGAACTTTGAAGCTCCGAGAGGCCCACGAGCAGCGACGGGTGGCCGTCGTACTGATCGGTGCTGTGGGACCAGTAGGCCTACCAAGTCGTGACGACGTCCTCCTCCGACCCCACAATCACCATCCACGACTCTCTTATCCTGTCCAGCCATCCCAAGCTCATCCGTCACCGCTGCGACAGCGTCACGGCTCTCACTCTCAGCCCCAATTCCACCTGCCTCACCTCCAGCTCCGTCAACCACTTCGTCAAGCTGTTTCCTGGTCAATATCTCCCAACCAAGCAAATAAACAACACCCAGATCTGAATTTCCATCCAAAATCAAATACAACAAATTAGGGTTTCGTAATCTGAGAAATTGGGATCTGAGATTTGGGTATAACAAGGTGAAAAATAACAAATTCATAATAAAGTTTGAAGCTTTTAAATATACAAATATGCACAAGAATGTAAATGGCAGGTTAATAGTACAAGGACCCATATATTCAAATTTTAGATAGAGAAAGAGAGACTGTGAGAGAGGGGAGAAAAGATAGGATAAAGGAGAGAGAAAACTTACTCAAGTGGGTGTAAACGGCTCTTTAGGGTTTTGCCCTTCTGGCGAGAGAGAGAGGAGAGAGAAACCTAAGAGAGAGAAAGAGAGGAAAGAGGAAAGAGGAGAGGAGAAGAGAGAGGAGAGAGGGGAGCGAGTGGTGGAGATGGAAGTTGGCGCGGGCGAGGGAGCAAGGGGCTTACTGTTAAGGTGTACAAGGGAAATATGACTAAATAAAAACCAACTACTAGCAGCATTACTAGCTAAGATAAAGTGCTAATGTGAGATTAAATGTAAATTACACAGCCAGAGCATAAATATCCTAGATGCAGTCAAGCAGGACAAGTACTAGATATAGATAACACCCAAAGGTGATCCTACATTTATGATGTTCTGTCAGAACCACCGTTGAAGTCCTCGTGAGTCACCAAAAAAAACCCAAACCAAATCCAGTTTGTCCCCCCTTTCCCCACCATAAACCCAATCCCTTGCAACCCAGAAAGAATAAGGAGGAAGAAGAAGAAGAAGAAGAAAAGGAAAAAAAAAACAAAAAATGGAAACCGAGTTCGTCCGTCCCTCCCACCCCACCTGCAGAAGAAGAAGAGAGAGAAGGAAAAAAAAGGGTATGTCCCCCCCCCCACCCACACCCAACCTGCAGAAGAAGAAGAAGAAGAAGAGAGAAGGAAAAGCAAAAAAAAAATGACACCCAGTTCGTCCATCCGCCCCCGCATACCCACCCACCCTCTTCCTTCCACATCCATTCCCCCCATTTTCCCGATTCCACCTCAACGGGATCTAGTTTTTTTTTTTTGGGTTACAGGTAGTGGGTGCAAGGTTGGGTGCAGAGGGCGGGTAGGAAGGTGGGGAGGTTGGGTGCAGGGAGAAGAGGGGGTGGGGAGTGGGGAAGACAAATTGGTTTTTTTTTTTCTCTCTCTCTTCTTTTTTCTGGGTTGAAGTTGTAGGAATGGGGAAGAAGAGAAGATGGGGAGAAGAGAGAGAAGGGGGGGGGAAGGGGACGAACTGATTGTTGGTTTTTTTTTTTTTTTTACTTTGCTTTATTATTTTAATATTTAAAAAATATTAAATGATTTTTTTTTTTTTTAATAGAAAATGGGCCCTGGATCAAGCCACGTCAGCATTTAACTGAGAAATTCACGCCAAGCTAATGGAAGGTATAACATTGGCACAAATTCATAAGATGAGATATGACATTATCAATTTTAAAAGATGAGGTATGAAAGTGTCGTGACACCAATAGTTGAGGTAGTTTTTTTTACTTTACCCTAAAAAATATTTGCAAATTAAAAATAGGTACAAACTAAAAGTAAAAATATATGATAAAAAAAAATTTAGCCATAAATATAAATATACTAATTGTAACATTTTTCACACTAAAAGAGTATATTTAAAAATAAAAATATTTTATTATTCAAATAATTAATTATGTTATTAATACCCAAGGACCTTGATCAAAAATTTAAAATGAATAGAATTTTAATCAATGGAGTAATAAAAAGAAGGATGTGAACCTAATTTTCCCTAAAGAATTATTCCTCAATCCACTATGTTTCGAATTCAAACATCTTCATCTCTAGTGTAAATTAAAGTAGTAATATTATTTTATTATAAAAAAAAGATAACATTACTCTTTTTATAATAAATTATTAGTGGCTTCATCAAATTATTATGCATTGTAATTTATATATGTCAACCATTTACCTTCACACTTAATGGTGTTACAACATGACGTTAACATTCAACATTTAAATTACAAAAAATGTAAATCATACTATATTCGTCAAAGTTTATAGTTCAATGCTACGTAATAATACCAATAAGGTTATACCTAACAACATAGAATGATAGTGTTATTATTGCAATTAGATTAGTGCTACTTTGCCGACACCTTTTTGTTGGGTTTTTTGGCTCAAAATTAGGATGATGCAATAAATTAGGTTTGTGTTACCTATTTGGTTTTGGTGTCCTATTTGGATTTGGTTTTGACTTCTTAGTTAGTTTCCTTGGTGGAGAGATTTTTTTTAGTTACCTATTTGATTAGGATTTGGATTTATTTCCTATTAGGATTCTTATTGTAACCTAAGTCCTATGCACTATAAATAGGACCTTAGGGTTAGTGTATTTGGTGTGACTCATTCGTGTGGCAATTTGGTGAGAGTCAATTTGTGAGTTTGTGAGTTAAAGAGCAATTTCGGAAAATCTTCTTCATTAGTTTGGGTTCTCTACTCGTTTGGTTTACGGTTTGTAATTTGTGGGATTTGGGTTGTGAGAGTTTAAAACACTCTTTTGTAATCTCTGTTTGTTTAGTGAAATTCCTCGCTGTGCTTCGCTCGTGGACGTAGGCTTTACGCCGAACCACTTAAATCTCTTGTGTTAGTTTGAGATTGTTTATTTTAGCTTTCACCTACGACATTGATATTGATACTTTGTTAGAATTCGCTTCCGTTTGTGAATAAAAGTACAACAAGTGGTATCAGAGCCCAGGTTTCAGCTTGGGCTTTGCTTGGCAATCACTATGAAGCCTTATGTGCCATCGGTGAAAGTTGATATTGAAAAGTTTGACGGCAATGACTTTGGTATTTGGCAATTGAACATGCTTGCTTTGTTAGTTCAACAAGGGCTTTTGAAAACACTAAAGGGTGTGAAGGCTTTGCCGAATTCGTGGACTGATGAAGAAAAAGAAGACGTTATGGAACAGGCACTTAGAGCAATCATGCTGACTTTATCAAATGAAGTCTTGCATAAAGTTGGTAGCATCAAATCTGCACCGGAGTTGTGGATAAAATTGGAGAGCTTGTATATGACCAAATCCCTTGCTAAATGGTTGTATTTGAAGAAAAGTTTGCATACTCTTCGTATAGATGAAGTTACATAACACATCCCGACCCGGATTGTCCACTGGGACTCCAAATCGAGTTGTGCTGGCCAACACCTGGAAGGTGACGATGCCATAAAGTGTGGTGATGTGGAATATGTGAATAAATTTAAACCTAAAAATGCATAAACATGAGAGTGCGCTGTGAGCAGGAATGAACACATTTCACACGTGACATTAGAGCATAAGTAAAGTACAGTAGACTGGATTGAAAATCATACCGTTAAAGGTAATCTCCATTACCAAGACTTGCCACGAATCCTTATCGATACGAAAACTCTGCTACTAGAACCTGGAGGGATAAAAACAAAAGCGAGTGGGCCTGGATATAAAGCCTTAATAAAGACCTTCTAAACGATACAACCCTTTGTTGTAATACCTGTATAGCTTCCAAGAAATCATACTACATATAAATATGAAGTCAAATGTAAATCAACATTAAATCCAAGAATAATCCAAAATCACTACATATCGGCAACAACATAATAAAATCAGGTGCTCATCAATCTATGATAACCCACGAGTCGGAGTTGCCTAACGCAACCTGTGCGATTCATAAATCAATCTATGATAGCACATGAGTCGGACTTGCCTAACGCAACATGTACGACTCATAGGCAATTTGTACGACAGTGTCGAAGTTGCCTATTATTGCAACCTGTACGACAGTGTCGGAGTTGCCTCCTATTGCAACCTGTATGACAGTGTCGAAGTTGCCTATTATTGCAACATATACGACAGTGTCAGAGTTGCCTCCTATTGCAACCTATATGACAGTGTCGGACTTGCCTATTATTGCAACTTGTACGACAGTGTCGGAGTTGCCTCCTATTTCAACATGTACGCCTATTATTGCAACATGTACGACAGTGTCGGAGTTACCTCCTATTGCAACCTGTACGACAGTGTTGGAGTTGCCTATTATCACAACCTATACGATAGTGTCTGGAGTTGCCTCCTATTGCAATATGTACGACAGTGTCAAAGTTGCCTATTATTGCAACACGTACGACAATGTCGGAGTTGCCTAAAACACTAATATAGTCATGCCATAACTCAATCAATTCAAATAACACCATAAACTTACCTGAACTTACTTGTACGTCTCGCGTTCACCTTAGTACTTCAAGGCATTCACAACAATTATATGTAGGTAATATGCATATGGTTATACCATGATGCAGTATAAAACTCAACCATATCATAGTATTTTAGAATATATATATATATATATATGTATATATGACATGGCATAAAATGCATAAATCAATTTAGAAGCGTTTGTGGAACTATCAATTATATACATACGATAAAAAAGGAAAAAACCCACTCACCTGAGGTCCGTGCTACAACTCCCTAGCACGAATATCGAGACATCACTAACGATCCTCACCTAGAACAATTATTTAGTCCCGTCTCAGAACTCTTATCAATAGAACATATAACTTACGTAAAACACATCCCAATGACGTTCTAGAATAATTCGAGACCCATTGACCAAAAGTCAATCGTCGGTCAAAGATCAACAATAGGGTCCACAACGTTACGTAAATTGATCCGAAAGATCCGCATCTCGGATTTATATTCCGTAATTTCAAAAGATCCACATTGTGCTTCTAAAACGTCATACTAAAGTTTCATTACGATCCAACGGTTGGATCTCCGCCAATTGCCAATTCAAGCACCAGTCAACGTTTTATTTTACGAACTTACAAATCTAATTTCGGAAGATCTGTACTTTGGATTCCCGATCCGTAAGTTTTTATGGTCCTCAAACATTAAGTACTATAATTTAATTAAGTTTAGTGACGATCCAACGGTTGGATCGTCGGTTACTATAATGTTCAAGCGGCGGACCTTAACGGAACTAGATTTGTAAGGGGTACCTCGGTCTACGCGTCGCCGCACACGCTGCCGCAGGTGGCGGTCGACCGCCCCAACTTGCCGGAAAATTCAACTATTTCTAAAATTTACCAAAATTTACAAGAATGAAGATCTCAAAGAGAGGAACAACTTTCATACCAGCCACGAAGTCCAAAAATAGACGGAAGATGGTCAATTTTGCCCACAAAACTGATGGGTGCCTAAAGCTTCATGGTGTCGATTCGTCGTCTACGGTGGTCCAACGGGGTCAAGGTTGGTCAGAATTTTCTCCTGGGATGATGGGCTATAAAGCCCAAGTGTTGACATTGGCCATCGCTTTGCCGATTCGCTGAAAAATTGAAAATGGTGGCCGGAGCACTGTTGATTTTCGTGGCCTCAAACCGCCATATACCATGGTTAATCAAGGTGGTTCTTGGGTGGGTTTTGTAAAGGGGAATGAGATCTTCAAGATGGTGGTGGTGGCGTCGAAAAACTCCACCAGAGTTGGTCGGAATCGGCCTTGGAAAATGAGAGGTCGCAGAGGTGTGGGTGATAGGGAATCTGGGAGCTTTCTCCCTTTTATGTGATGGGTCATTTGTGCCTAAAATTTGATTGGGCTACTTCCTTGAAGGAGTTAAATTAATTTACAAATTGAAATATAAATTAAAAATTTCAAAAGTCCATAACTATACCGTTATAATCCGGACTCGCAAATGGCTTTCGCCTATACGTTCGTACCAATAAGTACTACAAGGATACGCTAAAAGAAAAAGTCATACGTTCCTCTAGACGATGGTAAACGAAAGTGAAAGTCCTTGCCTCTAG